GTTTCTAGCCGACCTGCCTTCTGAAAGAGCACCTGCCTTGCTCCACCTACATCTCTCTCTGCTTCACAAAACTCTACCGCAGTAGTTCTCAAAGTGGGGTCCTCGAGGGGGTTTCCAGGGGGCCCCACCAAAAAGGGGAATTCTTTATTTTCACTATAATTCCAGCCATAAGTAACACAATGACAAAAACTATAGCTATATTGGTCATAGGTTTCATGCACTTTCTGTGATAAATGAATAATCTAAAAGCAAAGATCCTGTCAGCGGCTCCTATCAGGGGACCCTGGGACAAAATCTTATCAAAACGTGAAGTGAAAAGGTTTGAGAACCTCTGCCTCCGCCTCTCTGATTCATCCAGTTGGTGATTCAACTAACCTGCTGTGTCCGTTCTGCTTTGGGTTCGGGCCAGAAACCCGATTACTCAGGCGCCCTCGAGCAAAGCTCTGAACCCCCGACTGTGTGACGGCAGCTTCAGGTGAAAACGTGTGAAACTGTGTGAGTGTGAAAACAAAAGTTCTACAAAAAGACTAAAGATTCAAAAGTCAGGGTGGAAGAAAAGTGGAGTTTCCTTTTGTCTTCGTCTTCATCACCTCTCTTGTCTCGCTGATGCAGGTCGTGTTGTCTTGACCCAACGATCCTGCGGAGCCGGATCGACGCCTCACACCTGAAACCACACGCGGACTTCCTGTTCAAACAAGAATCAAGTCCAGCAACATTACAGGAGCCAACAGTCAGGGGGTCAGAGGTCTGCACGCTTAGCTCCTTCCTATTGTTCCTCTGAGGCCAAAAACACACACAGGGGGTGGACAGAATAATAGAAACAGGGACTCTGTTCACTTCTGTAAGATTCATTATCAGATGTTCACCAACCTGATTTTCTCCTTAACAGCAGGTGAGATCAGACCGATCTCAGTTTCTCTGTGTATTTACAGACCAAAACGCTGAAGTGATTAATTGACAAAAACACTGTCAGATTTAATGATAATGCAGCCCTAATTATTCCTGACTTAATCTAAATAAGAAACAACACAACGGTCACCTACATCCAGGCGCCAGTTGTTTAAAATTAATCTGATCGGCTTTCGGAAATGGGTTGTTCAAAAGAGACAAAAGGATTCAGAAGTCGGATCAGATCACCTAATCCAGTCCTGGTTGTTCAAAACTTTTTAGTAGGACTGGGATCCCTTTGATTCAGGATTATCAAAATGTCATAAAACTTTTATTTGTATTTTGCACTTGATTTGCTTAAACTTTACAGTGATGAAGTAGATGAAGTAGACGTTACCTCTAAGCCATTCAGTACAGTGAGGTAATAAAATAAATAATCATCCGAACAGCTTCAATATCGTAATGTATTTAATTTAAACTGTCACTTATCACTGTACATTAATTACAAAGACAGCATCGTCAGAGGTGAACCAGTCAGAAGGAGTTTCCTTACTGCAGGTCCAGTCAGTCCCTCATTCTGAGACCACCTGCTGAAAGCTAAAAGCTAAAAGCTCTCTGAACTCTGATCGATCTTTATTTTAACTGGTGGACAACACAGGCTCAAAATATCCACAGTGAATCTGTGAAGAAGGTTTATTTGTTTGTTTTTCTTGGATTTGTTGTGGCTCAGATGGTCTGACTGTTTAAAGAAATTCATAATTGAAGGAAATGTTTGTGTTGTTTTATTGTGCATTTCCTGTCTCTTCAAATTAAAGCGCCCCCACGGGGTGATCCAGTCCAGTGTTGCTTTGAAAAAGAGGGTTTACGTGATCCTGGAACACGGGATTTCCAAGTCCGGATCATTCGGATCCAGATTAAACTTTTTGAACCGCTGGGCATCCTGACCTTACACTGCGACTGATCTGCCCGCCACACAGGACCTGTGCATCCACAGAACCATCAAAGACCCCAGACAGGCCGTCCTGGCGCTGTCTAGTCCCCGTAAGTGAGACTGTTGCTGCCTGAAGCCAAAGACTTTCACCGTCTCGCTGCACTGGAACACGTGACAGTAAAACACTCTGAGTTCCTCTTACTGAAACCTTTACATGCTTTTGTTATATTAAATTATTCTATCAGTCACTTTGCATTTCCCGTATCACTAAAATCAAGTTCAACAGTTAAAGTCGAAGGTCACAGTCGAGGTCTGAGAGGTCCCAGGTAAACCGGCTCAGTTCGTACCTTTCTAGTCTTTCTGACCTGATGATCTCTGGCTGGTGTTGTTTTCTACGATGGATGCGTCCTGCGGTTCATGTGTGCGTTGCTGTCGTGCTCCTGAGTCATGAGGCGCCCGCCCAGGCCCTGTCAGCATGATTCATGAGTGACTCTGCTGATTTCAGATCAGTATCATCGCCGCTGTGGGAGAAAGTCTGGCAGCTCTGCGGCAGACTGAGGAGGAACGAGGAGTCTGAAAACAACACGACCAAACTGCACTGTTAATGCAGAGCAGGTCTAAACAGTACTCTGTGTACCATTATTTACAGAGACCATAACAGCTCCCACAATGGGGGGGGTTGCATCTGAAAAATGTATTGATGTGTAGTTATTTTAGAAAGGGAACCCTTCATGTTTTGTGATAAACTATAAAAGGGAAAGATTGATTTGTGAAGCGTTTATAATGTGCTGTAGATGTCAGGGTTCTGGCTCGAACCCAAAAGCAGATCAGACACAGCAGCGGAGCGATTAACTGCTGCCGAACGCTCGCTATCAAGTCTACAGTTTGTTTAGTAAAATGTAGCTTGTTTACCTCCAATTGTCTGTGCAAAACTAACATGCCCTGCTGTCCACATCTTCCCAGCCCGCTTGAAATGTTTAGCCCCGTGGTGGAAGGCGGAGACACGGACTCAGGACTTCACCTGGTGCTTCAATTTATTTCTTCACCAGACACGTGGAAAGTGCAGTAACGCAAGGGTGAATTATTACAAAAATATATCAAAAATTTAAAAAGCAACGAGGAAACTAAGTATAAACTATTCAAGTTATCATTACAAACTGATATTAAACAACACGAAGAAACTATGACTACTGGGCTCTAGCACCAGGCCAAAGCTGGAGCCTCTGCCTTCTTCCTTTATACAGGAAGCCCAGACTACAAGACAAACCAAAGTTTATTGGAAATCAGTCAAACAACACATCAATACACAATATATCGACTATAAAACCAGAAATGAAATGTTACATGCTGAACAAGCTTCTCAAAACAGAAAACTTTAGGTACTCCAGCACACCCCTCCGTATTGGCTCACAGACTCCATCACTTCCTGTTTGCCACTTCGACCCAGATCCCTGCTTGAAGATAAGAACAGCTGAAAGAACCATGCAAACATCTGGATGACCTTGGGTAAATCCAATAAGCTAAAATAAATGACTTGAAATTAACTGTGCATGTGTTGTATTTATCTAATCATGATTTCTACTCTTTCGACTAGTACTTAAATGAACTGGAATTAAATGACATGACATGAAATGTCCGTTGATGCTAGCCCACATGCTAAAGGTAATGCTAAAAGTCCAATGCTAATGCTCATTTTAAGTTAGCTTAGCATGCTAAGACCAATGCTACCCCTGGCTTAAATGAAGGCATGACACCGCTGGTCGATAAACACCAGCGCCTCTTATAGACGTTTCAGCACACAGCTGGTCAAAGCAGCAAGTTTCTTCTACCTCCCTGGGAGCATTCAAAGAAATCTTTATTGACTATTGTCAACAGTCAGAACGGTGCTCAGGGGCCGACAGGCAGTTTTACACACATACAGTGTGAGCAGTCAGGCTGACTACACCTACTGTACATCATGAGCTTTGGCTTTACGTCGCAGACAGTTTACTCTACAGTGTGAGTTGGAATAAAACACCAAGATTTCTAAAGTCGGGCAGTGTATGCCCAGCTTAAGGTGAACCCAGAGAGCCAGCAGTAACAACCCGTTCGTCATGGACTCATGGTAAAGACCCGTTGGCATCAGTCTGTAACACACTGGGGGAAGCCCTGTAACTTTAGAACGCTAAAGGCAGGGGTGGGATGTATAACAGTAAAGACAGAGTAAAGAACCAGGAGACAAAGTCAATATTGAATGTTTTTATTAAACATGCAAGTCATGTTACTTAACTTACCGAAGTTAACTGACTTACGCAACATAACCCACACTAAGATCTTTTCCCAAACAAACTACTTTTATTTTGAAAGTCTAACCAGATAGGCAACGCCAAATGGGTCTTGACCAAGCGTCCATGTGATGAGTTGGGGTGAGAACATGTTGGCGGTAGCGGCCATAACTCCACTGCACTCCTCGTGCCGTCACTTTGATTTACACGTCAGTTTTAACACTGGCCTGAAGCTCTGAACCAATCAGCAGGCCTGATCCGGACCTCGCTTCCCTCTGCTTCCAGTCACATGATCACATCCTGGAGCTTCCCAAAAGGCCTGAGCGTGCCCGTGAAATCTCCAGTAGTAAAGAAGGAAGGTGTGCAGAAGAAAGAACAGACAGGAGAACAGGAGAAGAAGGGGAGGAAGATGTGAGGTGAGGAGCGGTAAAAAGAGGAGGTGGAGAATGAGGAGAGGTGAGGAGGAGAGGGGAACAACGAGGGTAGAAAAACAAAAACAACGTAAGGGAGGAAGGAAAAAGGAGAAGATGAACAGAGAAGAGAAGAAACGCAAGACAAGGAGAGGAGGAAGAGAGGGGAGGAAAGACCATCCCTCCTCCTCCTCCTCCTCCTCCTCCTCCTCTTCCTCCTCCCTCCTGCCTTCAGCCAACAATAATTACATTTCTCCTGCTGAAAGAGAGCAGAGAGAGGGAGGCTAAAGTTTCTTTTCTTTGGACGGAGACGATCACTCTCTCATCCAATAAACCCTCGTCCTCCTTCCCAGGAGAAGAAAAGGGGAGAGAAAGGAGAGGAAAGGGAAGAGAGAAAGAAGTAGTGGCAGAAGTACAGAAGGGAGGAGATTAGGAGGAGAAGGTAAAGGGGGAGAGGAAAAGTGAAGAGAGAAGAAGAGAGGAGGAGGAGTGAGGGTGAGGAGATGGAAAGAAAAGACGGAGGTGAAGGTTGGTCAGACCCAGCATGCACCAGTTGGTCAGGTGTGTTTGATTTGTTTCACTCAGCGTGCTCGCCGGGCGGAGCAGTAACAACGCTAACAATGATGTCAGCCTTCTTCCCGCCCACTTCTGTTACACCATCTGATCTTCATTCAGTTCGTTCAACAAAAACACAAAAGTGTACTTCCAGAAACAAGCTTTCATTTCCCAGCAAGTTTGAATCCTGTCCCGTATACATTCTGCAGGTTTTTCCCTCCAGCCAGATAAATGCGAGCGTCCCTGCGGCGAGGAGAAATGCATCAGCGTGTGAAACCACCGGGAGTGTAAAGTGATCCTGAAGAAGCTTTAATCAGCTCCATGTCTCTGTGTCTGCGTGGACGCTCGGCAGCTGCAGGAGCTCAAGGCCTCTCCGGGTCTGTCAGCGTCTCACCTCCAGCTTCACCTTTAATATCAGAAGAGAAATAAAATACAGAGCTGGAGCCAGAAGGACGCAGCTGGTGGCGAGGGTGAAAATACAACTATCAGATACTCTCAAATCCACAAACTTACACACTTTCATATCGCCGTAAAACAACACTCCTCCTGTGGCTCAGTAACTCTCTGAAGATCAACACTCGACTTCACTCAGAGGCTTCGTTTTACGGATTTTGTCCTGCAGCTCTAACAGATCTGTGATTCACACGTCTCCACAAGTAAATCTAAATCACAGCATCACAGACACACAGGTTATAAATCAGCGTGTTCTGTTGAGGACACACTGACAGAAGACACAAGCACAGAAAGTGTCTGCTCCTTTGCGCATCAGGAGACAAATGAGTTAGGATTTTTCAAAACGTAAAAGAAAAGTTCCAAATTGCTTCACAATAAAAGAATTTAGCAAGAAACAACCAGCAGCTTCTTAATCCTAGGGCGTCTAATAGCTAAGCTTTGTCACGTCCGTCGACGTCTGGCCTTTAACTTTAAAATAGGCCGAGTATAAGGAACAGAAAAGCCTGAGTAGAAGGTTGGATGGATGGGTCAGAAACCGGACTTTCATCCAAGTAGTTTTGGTGTCAGGATGAAACGGAGATCTTTTATTAAATAATAACAAGGGAACAAGAGAGGCAGAGCAGCTGCAGGTGAGTGGGGGCAGGTGTTCGGGAATGTGGGTCGCTCGGTGTTGGCAGGAGAGGGGGCGTCCAATCATAACAAGTGGTTCGGGGAGTTCAGGGGTTGGCTGGTGGTCAGGTGGTGAATCCTGGAGATAAACAGATTAGCGATGACACAACTGCCAGGCAGGCAAACTCTCAAACTTCCAACATCCGTCTCTGGTTGACTGGTTGGCTGGCGTGCATTCACACTCTGATACAACGCAGAGACTGGAAGGCTGGTAAGGAGGCTGATGGGCAGGATGACGAGCAGGCGGGCAGAGTGGCGAGTCGGGCCAGGGGCGAGTTCAGCGCCGACAAAACGTCGGAAAGGGTGGTTTGTTGAACGCCCTGTTGTGTACGCAAGCGCACTGCATTTCTCTGCATTCTTAACACTGTTGTGTTCACGGACTGATTGAGTGACACCTGAGACTCGCCCACCAAACATACCTCGAAACCCGTTGCGGAACGTTGCAAGGAAACATGTCGTTCAATCTGAAAAACATTGCAAACCAGTGCAAAACGTGTGTGAAGGTGCTGACAGGGGAACACAGGAGCCACGCCCACCAACTCGCTCCAGAGCATGTAGAGGGAAACCGAGCGCAGAGAGAGACACAAAGCTGCTGCAGACATCCCAAAGCACAAAAATATACAAAACCCATGCAGCAGGAGTCACGGCAGGGGGGCTGCGACGCAGGTCGCATAAACCTAACCAAACTGCAGCGGTAACCACTAGTTTTATTTTGAAAATCTTACCGGCATAGGTCCGAGAGAGAGTCTGAAGTTTTCCTCCAAATGTTTCAGCAGCAGAAACAAAAGCCACACTTATTTCAGGATTTGAATTTTAAATTGAAAAGTTAAACAAAGTAAGCGAAAACGTTTTGTGCAGCAAACTGAGTCACTGAGACCTATAAAATATAAATATTTATTTAAAAGGATCACTTCACTTTGCACAGCTGCAACATCACACACCTCTGCAGTGGAACATATTCCACCAGATTATTACACACACTGGGACTTTAGAGACTTTACTGGGCGTATTCAGAAGACCTTCATCAGATTACCCCCCCCACCCTGGCTCCGTATTTTCTGGACACGTAAATTAATCTAAATATGTGAAAACATTTAGAATCATTCAGTTCGATGGGCTCCATCTGAGAAACCATCCTGTTAATGAATTCAGATCTCCTCCCTGAATCGCAGCTCGGCTGCAGGGTGAGTTCAGGAACAAGTTAAAAATATTTAACCTCGGGTTAACCACGAAGATGACCTGCACGCAGGCGTAAACCATGACAGCAGACCTCGGGTAAAACCTGTCCACCTTTTGTAGTACAGGTTAATCGGGAAGTTACACCCGACGTCACAAAGTTACTCCTGAAGGTACCTGGATAAGCCAGTTACCCCGCTTCTTAGTACAGGCCACTGGTGTTTCCAATAGTTTTGGCTGGTTAGACTCAGGACTGTGGACGCAAGCGCGTTGCATTTTCCTGCCTTTTTAACACCGTTGTATTTACAAACCTGTCGCATCTGATTGAGTAACACCTGAAAATGCCCACCAAACGGGAGAAAACATACCTCGAAGCCCGTTGCAGAATGTTGCACAACGTTTGCAAGGAAACATGTCGTTCAATCAGAAAACGCTGCAAACCGTTTTGAGATTGAACCTGAAGTGAAAACACCTGTGAGGTCTAATCAGGATGAACACGTTGGCAGCTTGCTCCTCACGTGCTGCTGCTGCTGAATGCTGCAGATGAACGTGTTGTTTTCATGCTGCAAAGGTTGTATAACTAAATTCATTCATTCTAATGAAAGCTGCTCCAAACAGATTGTCAGACTTCCATGTTTTAATGCCCACAGAGCCTTATTATTATTATTATTATTGTACATTATTAGTGTATTTGAGTCCTCCTCTGGCTGAACTGCTGACTTCCTGTTGGCTCTTTGATATTTTAAACTGTACTTTTAAACAGAGTTCAGTCAGAGAGATTGAGAGCGATAATCCCTCCTTAATAAACATACGTGAACATTAAAGCCAAAGCAACACTGGAGGAACCAGCGGAGACAGACAAAATCTGAACGTAACCTCCACCCTGCAGGCCTCCCTCCAAAACACACGTCCATGAGTGCAGCACGTAGGCCGTGCTCGTTGCAGTCCTGACGGCCACAGACAGATGCTTTTGATTTATTGATTGCTGTCGGGATGAAAAGACCGTTTTCACAAATAAAAGAAAACATGCTTCTAGCTCAGCTTCAGTAATCTGCAACAGCCCTTTGCATTTCTTTTTAACGCTTTTTAAGCATCGTTTTTGCAGAGGTAGGTTTAGGAAAAGGTAAAGGGTTTGGGTTAAAATAACTATAATAATTACTCACGTGACTACATAATTAAAACAATCAAAGTTTGATTGTTTCACGCGGGAAACGAACACCGGTTTCCTGGGTGAAAGTCTGGTTACTGACCCACCCGTCCACCCCAACACCTCCTTACTCTGACTCTCCTGTTATTTCTAACAGGGCTTCTTTCAGCGTTGAACTGTGATGCTAGAGGCTGCCGTGTGCGTTTGTACCAGACGCTGAAGGACGTGACAGAACGGGCTGAAACAGCACACCTGGAGAGCTGCAGAGTAAACAGTGTTGATTAGACTCAGTACACCTGCATGAATGTGATTGGCTGTGAGTGATGGAAGTGCGTTTACTAGAAAGCAGGATACTGCGTCATGTCTGTCTCCTGATCCTGGTTTCTGAATTCTGTTGGTACAGAGTGTTTGGATGTTGGGGCGGACAGAAGAGGAGCGGTGGGGTGTAACAGGACAATACAAATAAAATCAGCCACAAGTTCAGAACCTTTAAATAATGTTGAGCTGCTGTAAAGAGATGTAATCTGTCCCTTACGCAGATACATGAAGCCACTAATGTTGCAGATTCGTGTCTGAAAAGGGCTCATTATTCCCAGAATGCAGCGGGGTGTGAAGCTTCCCCTCCTCTCTCCCCTGCTGGCTCCTGTGGCTGAGCTCCAGACTCTTTTCCCAGCAAAGCCTTAATCAGCGACGTGCAGGTAGACACGGCCAAGTTCAACACATGAACCCAAAAATAAGCCTGAAATTTTCACAATATGATGTTACAGTGTGATAAAGCTTTTGGAAACGCTTGTGACGTGACAGCAGAGGGTCGCTCGGCGTGCGATGCAGGCTGAGGGCGGCTCAGCTTTCATGTTGGAGTCTTTTCAGCATCAGTGAGAGTCAACAGTCAACAACGACTGGAGCTCTCAGATCTTTTCGGGTGTGTTTGTGGCTCCGAGCAGCTTCGGTCCAACGTGATGTCGTGTCTCACCAGCTCTGCACCCACAGCAAAACCAACGGTGCACAGAAGCGGTGGCGGTGGCGTGTCGGCATGAGCGTGACGCTGGAAACTGATACAGCAGAAGAAAGAAAACATTTCCGAGTAATCAGCTGTTCCTCTGCTCCTTTAAAGGAAACGCCTCCTCAGTCTCACATCTGCGCCCGCTACAGAGACAGCCCCAGGGCGGGTTAGTGTTAGCCTAGCTTAGCATAGAGACAGGAAGTTATGGAGTAACTCCTCTCTGTTAGAATAAAAGAAGCACTGACTGAAACCCAGAACTATCACAACACATGACAAAGGGTGAAAAGGTGAAATTCAGGGAAATGATTTACATCATCTCAGAGATTCCGTGCACTTTGATCTTTACAGTAATCAAACAAATGCTCTGCGTCGTTTCACCCTGCTGGTCTGACTTCATTTTTACAATGTAGGTGTAACACACCTGGCAGCTAAGCACACACTGGACCTGTATAATCGAGATGAACCTGATGAACGCCAGGGAGTAAACAGGAGTTTAAAGCAAAATCATCGAACTGCCGCCGTCCTGCTCCCCTTCTTCTGATCTGGGTGCAGCCTGAATAAAATGAAGACAGCCGGGCAGATGAAGGACTGAGCCTGTATACCTCGACTCGTGTGGCAGAAATCTGTAGCATCAAACTGTTCTTAATGTACAGTTTAATTTTCAAACATTCAGTAAAACCTTTCCATGATCGATGACTCCTGCGTTGCAATGTTGGCATATTTATTATAGACATCTGTGTAAACAAAACGATTACATGACTATTAAATAATAGTGAACCTGTCTGAGATGAAATGTTGGTGTTCATCTCTCTAATAAAGGCAAGAATCTGTGAGTGTTTAAATTATATCAAGAACCGTTCATCCAATCAAAGACCGAAGGGAGTGGACACGCAACACGATCAGAATGAATGTACAGTTTGGCTGCTCCGCTCCCGGGGGCGGAGCTTATATATTGTTGAGAGAGAGATTTACCGTCATCACGCAGGTTTTTGATAGGTTAGAAACTGAGTCTTAAGCGTGTGGTGAAGTTGTAAGGAAGCGCTGAATCTCCACCTGTTGTGTCAGTGTTATTGATAAACCAACATGAGATGCACATTTTGAACAAACCCTGCACTAAAAAGCGCAGGGAGGCGTCACACTGGCCCCTGTGAACGGGCCCTGCACTGGTCTCATAATATAAGAAAGGAGATGTAGATATAAACGTCTTTGTCACAGTGATGCACAGAATCAAGCTGGTTTCATAACCCGTAAACGATTCCTGTAAATAACACGCACACAAATATTCCCGCTTAGAGAAAAAAACTACTGCGCTGGTCCACAGAGCAACAGGCTCAGTGTGCGGATCAGGCGCTCTCAGGGTCGCTGCAGCAGCTCGCTGAACTCTCTCGAATAGTTAAAGTACTACATCAAGTACAAGCAACAAGTACTTTGTGTTTTCAGTGTCTCTGATTTGTTTTCATACCAGCCGTGTCTCCTCAACTAGTTCACCTTGAACCAAAGTTACGGATGCAAAATCTGACCTCTGAGTTTAAACTAAATAATAACTTAAATATAGCATGGGGTTAATGACGTGAGAGACACGGGTTCGATTCCCAATGCAGAGGATATACGTAGCAGTTGTAAGTCTCTTTGGATGAAGGAGTCAGCTACACAAGAAAACGAAGAGTGCGATTATAGTACAGGACTTCTCAGTGAGGGGAAATCGTTGTAGTAATAATTAGTTTTCCAACAGAGAGGAACAAATCTGTGGAGGTGCAGAATGAACAGCAGCCGCTGTCACACACCGGCTGCAGGAAAACCTAATCTGCACATTAATCAGAAACACAAGTAATAATTTGTGTTCTCTGCTCCTTTCAGGACATTTTTATGATGCCGTCTTGGCAGATGATCTGACCGCTGGACGGGAGGCTGATCCCTCCATCACCTCACACTGTATCAGTGACACGAGCTAAGTCGCTAACAGCAGCTCCTCCTGCTCCAGACTCACCACTAATCTCTCCACATGACTCGTCTCCCAGGCCGGCCGCACGGAAACACACACCTTCCAGACACAGATAACACCCTGCGGTGTTTCCTAAAGCCTCGGGGACAATCTGAGTCTTTTGTGGCCGAGGCGTCGTGCCGCCCGCCCGGCTACCGAAACTAACCGCCTTAAAGCTGCGGCTTTGTAAATCCGAAGCCTCGGGCCTCGCCGGGAGCCAGACGAGGCTTTTGTGGCATGTGAAGCAACTGCTGGTTTGTTTAGGCCTTTCCTGTCATTTCCCCAGTGGAACAACAAACATTTTTCTATCAGCTCGTACATTTTGGACTCCTGGAAGCGTTTCTGGGAGAACGCAGAACAATGAAGCTGCTGGCTGTCGAGCTGTCACACTCCATTTCAGCCTCAGCAGCGTAAAAAGACTCTCAGGAATTCCTCGGGGTCTGCTCTGGCTCCACCGCCTCCTTCATTTTGGTTTTTGTGAAAAGAGAATATAGAAAAAATCATGCAGGAAAAGCGCACACACACACACACATCCTTCACTGTCAGAGCGTGGAGCCACCCGGCTGCCACAGAGCAGAAATAGCTGGATGGGCATCTGAGATGTGGGTATGATGAGGGCACTGACGGTACTTTCTGTCCTCCTGCACGAGTTTGACGACACAATATATAATGTTGTAACAACACACAGCTTACTTTAATTTATATATGGCCGAAAATATTCCAGAGGAAGACAGATTGCGAGAGCTGGGTGAGGTGGAAAGTGAATCCTGTTTCCTTTTGTACTGCACAAGAGAGTCAATGTTCCTGGAAGTCACGCAGCAAAATCCTGAAATATTCTGGTACAGCATGGAAAGCCTTTTTAATCATGATGTATTTAAGTAGCAAAGGAACTTAGAAAAGAAAGCAAGTTACTTTGTTTAATTAGATTTAATTGTGTTAAATCGGTGTATGTGTACCTGTAGATATAGGTTTGTATGTGTTTGTACATTTATTTATTATTATTGCTCTTCTTATTCTCCTGTCTGTATATGATGTACTCTGGGCCTGGAGTCTTGTAAGCCCATGTGGGCGGGGCTTAATTATACACAAGACACAATAATAAATCTTTATTCGTTCATTCATTATATATTTTAATTTTTTATTTATGTTACTATTCCTTTATTTTTTTTAAGCAAGCAGGTACATGCACCTCACTTTGGCTGTACAATAACAATCTTATAATGTATGTATGATGAAAGTTTGAATATTGCTTGTATAAAAATCAGATAACATATCAATCATGAATCAATTGATCTCGCTGTGAGAGAGATTTTTTAGTTGTTTTTTATTGTCTATTAATATTTTATTGTTTCATTTTTTATTCTAAAAAAAACCTTAAATACTACTGGCCAATGGCACACACACAAGCTTATTGTTTTATTTATTTTATTTTATTTATTTGCTGAACTGAATTCACAACACACACAAGCTACCGTTTTATTGACTTTTTTATTTTTAATATAATTTAATTTTTTTAACACACACCCACCCACACACACAAGCTACAAATAAAGTTGTTTGACATTCATGCCAATAAAGCTGAATTGAACAGAATTTATTGAATTGAGTGAGTATAGAAAGAATAAAAGCCAAAGTTACCGTATTTATTTCAACTTTGATTAATTTTTATGACAAAAATGTTTAGATTATTTTGATCGAGGGACCCTTACTGACTATAAGGCATTTAAAAATAATCGAGGAATGGAAAGATAATCAGACTTTATGAATCTTTAAAGGTCAGGACTCTCTACTTTACCTTGCTGGTAAATCTGAATGAATTAGACTTTGGTGCTCGTTGTTTCTGGAAAATGAACAGAAGGATTGAATTATGGAGAATCTAACCGATCTAACGATGTGTAGCCCGTCCACACTGACAAACGGCTTTAAGAGGTTTCATACATCCAGAGATCTTCTAAAAAAAACAGACCAGGCTGTTAACTGAGAGCTGCACACCAAAAATATAAAATATGTTATATTACTGAACAGGTCTTTGGAAGTCAAATAACTCATGTCACCTACAACATGATAAAATGCTGAGCAGCTACATTCAGACTCATCACAGACTGTTTGATGCTGCAAACAGTTTCTTGCACTTTATGATCTTTGTAAGTTCTTGTGCAACTTCCAGCAGCTTGTACAGCAATCAGATGATGATACATAATATCATTACAGTTTTGTGTATGAGGCCGGTACAATCTCGTTCTAAAGAAAATATCACTTCATGAACTTTGCTGATATTAAACTCAGAGATGTCAAATCAGGAAACGTCAGATGTTCCTGTCAGGGATTGGAACAGTAAGGTGCCCTTTAGTAAATCCTCCTTGGATCAACATGTCAGACTCACAGAACGTAACATGGATCTTGAAGTAGATCATTTCAAACCCAATGATTGACCCAATGACCCAATTGTGAGTGTTTCATCTTACCAGTGTGTTTTGTTTCTATTTTATTGTTTTGTGTATTTTAAAGGCAGCTGTAAACACACAGTAAGATACTTTCACGAGGGTCAGGTTCAGACGCTTTCCTCTGCCGCAGCAGTTTGCACGTCACATTGATCACAACATGCAATTGCAGGAAAAAGTATGTGAACCCTTTGGAATCACCTGGATTTTTGCATAAATTGGTCATAAAATGTGATCACAAGTCACAACAACAGACACACACAGTCTGCTTAAAGTAACACCACACAAACAGATATGTGTTTTCTTGTTTTAATTGAACACACCGTGGAAACAGCATGAGAACCGTTGGATTTAATAACTGGTTGACCCTCCTTTGACGGCAAAAACCTCAACCAAACGTTTCCTGTAGTTGCAGATCAGACCTGAACAACGGTCAGGAGGATTTTTGACCGTTCATCTTTACAAAACTGTTTCAGTTCAGCAATATTCTTGGTCTGGTGTGAATCGCTCTCTTGAGGTGATGCCACAGCATCTCAGTCGGGTTGAGGTCAGGACTCCGACTGGGCCACTCCAGAAGGCGTATTTTCTTCTGCTGAAGCCGTTCTGTTGTTGATTTACTTTTTGTCGTCATCCTGTTGCATCACCCATCTCCTGATGAGCTTCAGTTGGCGGACATTCTCCTGCTTAATATCTTGATAAACTTTGGAATTCATGTTTCTGTCGATGATAGCCAACTTTCCAGGCCCTGAGGCAGCAAAGCAACCCCAAACAATGATGCCCCCTCCACCATACCTCACAGTTGAGGTTTTCATGTTGGT